CCCCAAAACCCCAAAACCCCAAAACCCCAAAACCCCTTGGAAATTAAAAATTATTGAATAAATACTTGAGGGGTTTCCAGATTCCATATGCCAGTTTTCTTTTTCAAATACTTTACTTCTTGCTCTCCATCTACTAGTTTAACATTCAACTCATGGTAATCTTCATTTTTCTTTGTAAATTCTCTGTCATAATTGATAAGGGTGCTATCCTGATAGTCAGCTCTTGCCTTAAGGTCTTCTATGACTTGTCACAAATGCTCAGCAGTTTGTTCATCAACATCCAATTCATTTTCTAATTCAGCAACTCTTTGTTGGTTAAGACCATTAGGGGAGTTTATGTAGGTTTCTAACTTATCAATTTCCCGATCTTGTTCAGCTATAATGCCATCTAGTTCTTGAGATCTATCCTGTAAGTCTTCGATGTCTTGGAGCATGCCTTCCTTCATTCTCTCATTCCTAGTGAGCATGTCGATTAGTTCTGTGTTTTTCAAATCTCCAATGACTTCTTCAGCGAGTTTGATCCTTGTATCTCATTCATTAAGGTCATCAATAAGCATTTGACAGATTCTGGCTAGCTCAGTTCTTTCTTGTTCTAACCTATCTTGCTTTTTAAGTCATTGATATCTGGTCTTTTTGAGGTTCACCTGAGGAGGGCCGTGAGAAGAGCTCCTATTACCAACCCTTCCTAGAGATCTCCACATTCTGATAATTTCTTTATTGGCTTCGTCGATATGGTTAGCAGTCTGTTGAATTTCAGTCTTCTTGTCCTCAGTCTTATGAACAAAGTCACATTTTTCTTGATGAAGACTAAATGGAGTTAGATAAAGCTTACTTTTGGTTGATCAAATGAAGCTGCTCGATTTCATTTTCAGCTTTTCTGTTCTGGTACTTAAGTTTTACTTCAGGAGAAGCTGTAATTGGGGGAGGTTGGTTCATTGAAGATGTATAATTAGCCTTGCTACAAGGTTTAGAGCCAGAAATTTTTACCTATTTTTAAAAGTAGTTGATCCAAAACTGTAATGACTATCTCCTTTATGACTTGAGATTCTCGAAAAACTAGATCGAGTTAGACTGAAATTCCATTAAATTCGAACAAAAAATGAATATTTTTTGATAAATTCCTTCTTATTTAGGTTAATTTCAGCTATTTAGCCTAAATCAATTCCAGTAATTAGTCGCAATTTGTACATACTCTTGACTCATTTTAAATTTAATTTAAATTAAATTTTGCTCAAAATAATCAAACTTATAGGGGTTTTGGGGTTTTGGGGTTTTGGGGTTTTGGGGTTTTGGGGTTTTGGGGTTTTGGGG